ATGATCCAGGATGTTGTGCCGGACAAGAAATGTTGGGGAGTTCACAGGTTATCCGAACGACCAGAAAGTTATCCGGGATTCATTTATCCGAATCGGGTCGTTTACTAGTACTAGTAGATGAATTGACATTATTTAAGATTTTTAAATAAGGGGGGTAGTTAGACAAGAGCCGAGGAACGCGTGGTCGCAATTGCGGGGAACATGCGGCGCCCCTTCTCTGGACATCGTATTAAGGTTTTTTTGTGAAGCACTACAAAATCTGTGAACCCGCCACACAGAAAACACTTGCCATGGCTCTCTCCATGCCCTCGAGAACGACAGGTCAGAGTGCATCGGTCAGATCGTGGCCGAGACGTGAACTCCGTGGCAGGCATGCCGGCTCTGGTGTGCTCGACGAAGGCCCCACCCTCCTGGAAGTAAAAGGTAGTGTTATCCGGTTAACCCATCCAATTGCCGGATAATTTGGGGTGGCGGTGAAACGGATGCAAATTCAAGGAAGCGGCGGCGATGCTGCGCCACTTGGATCGAGTCGCGCAGAGATGCGGGCGAGACCTTGCTTCCTCCGTCAACATCGCACGTCATGCATCGACGTTGCAGGTGTGCGACAGCATCGAATCGTACAGACTAGTCCGCAACAGTATCCCGCAAGGGACGACAGTTGGGTTTGTGCCAACGATGGGGGTGAGTCTATGCAGCCATTGAAGAAGGAGCTGAATGAAGGTGCGTAGGGGCTGCATGCAGGCCACTTGTCGCTGATTCAAGCAGCTAGAGCACGTTGCGACGTCGTCGTGGCCAGTGTGTTTGTCAACCCGACGCAGTTCGGCCCGAACGAGGACTTCGACAAGTACCCTCGAACGCTCGAAGCCGACTTGGCGCTGCTGAAGCAGGAACATGTCGACATTGTGTTTACTCCCGTGCGCGACAACATGTACACGCCTACGTTTCGGTACCCATCCCTGTTGTTCTCGCCATTCTCTGACTGATCGATTCCCAGCACATACGTCGATCCAGAAGGCTTCAACGATGTTCCGGAAGGCCAGTGTCGCCCAGGCTTCTTCCGCGGCGTCGCGACGGTTGTGGCCAAGCTCTTCAACATCGTAGCTCCGACCCATGCATTCTTCGGCCAGAAAGATGCCGTCCAATGCGTCGTGATCAAGCGACTCATCGAAGATCTCAACTTCCCTATCGAGCTGCATGTTCTCGACACCTGTCGCGAGCCCAATGGCCTGGCAATGTCCACACGCAACCAATACTTGTCGCCAGAAGAGCGCGACGCGTCTGCCGTGGTTTTTGCTGGCCTCCAGCACGCCGCCAACTTATTCGACACGATGAAGGAACGCACAGTCCCTGCCCATGTCCTTCGAGCCGCGATTGAGCAAGTGTACAAGCAAAATCCGCATGTCAAGAGCATCCAGTACATTTCTATTGCATCGAAAGATACGATGGACGAACTGGACCAAGTCGTGGTCGGTGAAGGCGGCGTCATCTCGGTGGCGGTAAAAGTCGGCAACTGCCGCCTTATCGACAACATTGTGCTGTAGCCGAAGAAGTATACTCGACTGGGAAAGCACAATGCAACCATTCAACAGGAAGAGTGAACTCATGCAAGTCGTGCGCGGCACGGTGGCGTCGGTTGTCACGGGCTCTGCGACGCAATCGCGTTAATAACCTCCACACACCTGACACAGCACACTCCTTCATCCATGGAATGACCATCTAAAGCGCTTCTGTCGTGGCGCGGCCGTCGCTTTGGCGCGTCGTATTCATGCACACACCACTCGAACCGATGGCACGTTCAACTGCTCCAGCCACCACGTCGGCGGTCGCTGACGTGCATTGCAACCTTGCTGCACGTCGCTCACTCTGCGAAGCATCCAATCGCTCATCCTAGCTTGTGCTAACTTGACCAGAGCACGGCTATCGACTCGACGTGCGTGATGTTCGGGTGACTCAACTGCACGCGCAACAGCGCGCGGTGTGTTGGTAGTGGACCGGCCATGGACATCATGCACCTGGGTCACGATGGCAAGGTCGTGTGCGACATGGCGCAGTCCCTTGAGGCCCGACAACGACGACATCCAAGTCTGGCGCGACTTGTTCGTAGCGGGTGCGAGGCGTGTTTCGCGCAAGATGGGAAACGTGTCGGGACGTTTGGGACAGTGACATGCGCAGGCTCGCGCGAATGCAGCAAGCAAACCAAGTCGGCGGCTTCGATAGCCGTCAGAGTACGAGCACGACGTTCGGTACGAGGATCGATCGCGTGGCTGCGCTCTCGAAAAACAAAAGAAGTCGAGTCCCACGACATGTCAGTGCATGGAACGGTGCTGCTGTGCTGGAGGGTAGCGGGGTGTCCGGCGCGTGCAACGTAGCGAACGCGTCGACGGCAGCTGCCGTCGCCGTGGAATGGAATCGGCATGTCTCTTTCGACAACCGCGCCGCCGCATGCAAGGCAACAGAGTGCTGGTTTAGAAATAGGTTGGAATCGTTCGGTTTGGTTTTCTGGCCCGTTCATCGGAGTTCTACATGCTGTTGACATGTGCATACGGCGTCGCGAGGTCGGTCTCGAGCTGTTCGTCTAGCTTGGCGAGGCGCGCGTCGTCCTGGGCGTCCAGGTCCCTGGATGACAGCCACACGTCCAATGACAGTGACGACGGCAGCTTTCGAATCGCTGCGTCGTACTCGGGCGGCTCTTCCTGCGTCGCATCGACCGGAACGAGCTCAACGCGCGCCGCGTCGCCGCGCATGCTCACATCCACGAGGCGGTGATCTTCCGACCGGATCCCAATGTACCGGCGGTGCTGGTTCATGCTCTTCATGTACCCGTTCGAGCTGAGCTCCCACGTGAGCCCAGGACGGCCGCGGCAGCAGTTGAAGTTCTTCATGCGGATGTCGCGAAAGCAACTCAACGTGCTCCGCGAAAACATGTACGTGTTGGTGCCTGGCGCGCGCAGGCTAATCTTGACGCAGTTGTACACCTTCGCCGTTGCGTGCAGCTCGAATACGGCAGGGGTGGCGGTCGGGGCCACGTCTGCAATGTCGGCCACGGACACCTGGCCCGTCGGGAGCACCACGACGTAGCGGTTGCGGTATCCATTCACGCGCAGCCGAACCTTTTGACCGTCGAGCGCGAGAACCTTGTCGACCACACCGCGGCTCACGCCTTTGATCGCTTCAATCTCCTCTTCCATCGCAAGCACTTGCTCCGGCGCGATCTGGTGTTCAAACGGGACGCGCGTCTTGGGCTTGGTCATAACCTGCTTGCACCACTGTTCGCCCGTCATGCACCAGTGCGCATAGTGTTCGCAGTTTTGCGAAAAGATGTTGAACTCGCCTTTGCCGAGCCCCATGAGAAACTTGCACCGCGCGAGAACAACTTCTGGCAAGTCCGCTTTGCTGTAGTGTACCTCGCCCCACTTGGACAAGAGTTCGCGAAGGTTGCTTGTGTTGTACTCGACGACACGGAGGCTCGAGATCTTGCGCTTCGACAGGAACTCGCGCAGCGTCGACACACGCACACACGAGTCGGCCTGCGCTTCCTGGTATCCGTTGAGTGGACTCCACACATGGCACACTTGAATGGTTTCTTCGCTGTCGCCTTGCGTCCACACTATCCCGTGATGCTGGTACCGGATCGGCCACCGACTCTCGTCCCACACACACACGTGGTCGCCCGGACGAAGCGTTTGAATCAAGCTGACTTTTGTGTAGTTGCCCAGCATCCTCTCGGCGATGGCAACGATGAAGTCGACGATCGATGCGGACGGTCGGGCAATGCTCTCGACCACCTGCGGTGTAATACAGAACTTGACTCCGGAAACGGCCCATCTGCTGCTGCTGTCGAGAGCATACAAATGTCCAGAGTAAGGGAATGTTGGTCGATGGCCCACCCGAACTCCTGCGACGTCGAGAGCGGCGAGGGCGGCGGCATGGGCACGCCTGACAGCTTCCCACGCAGATAGCGAAGGTAGTGTGCATGTATAAACAAAGGCAAATAGAGCTGGCGAACGTTCGGTTTCGCTGCCAGTGTCCTGGCACCGTGCGTATTGGCGACGCCGAGCTAAAGACCAGGCGCGTGCATGCCCCGCCGTCTTCTGGACTGGCTCCATAGGTAAGAGGAAAGAAAAGAGTCTCGATGGGTATGGATGCGCTTCTTCCTACAGCAATACTGCATGTGGATGAGCCTTGTATGCATCGCAATGGCAAAGGGCAAGAAGAGGTTGGCGGCGAGTCCTCCAGTTCGTGCCCGAGAGTTGCCCACGCGAGCTGCACATGGCTTGCTCGTCGCGTAGTTGTAAGTCCCCACGAAAGGGAGACTGCAGTAGGTTGGACATCCATGACGCTCCTCCACGGACGCGGGCATGCACATTGCATGCAGTCGAGGTCGGAAACGGCGTGGTAGTTGATGTTTCGCCCAAAGCAAGTTCGGGCGAGTTTGAAACAGCCACTTCGAAACGCTTGGCAGCAGTTCCATGTCCAGGACTTTGACATTCGAGAGGGCCGCGATGCCAGGCGATGGTCATTCGGTGCATGGGGGCAGCCTCATGTCGGATGATACCATGTCACGCCGCGAGCTGGGACCGGTGCAGTTTGCCGTCGCGACGCTATTGCAGCCGACGGAGCGTCACTTTCGGGACCTGGATGATGTGGCCGACTGCTACGAGCTCATGGAATCGATCCAGCCCGACGACGCATTCCATGTGCTGCATGCTGCGCTCGAGTACATCAAGCTGTCGAGGTCGCTCCTCCGTGTGTGCGACGACTTCTACAACCACCACTTTGACGCAGTACGTGGCAGGAGTCACACTCAGTCCAATATGTGCGTAATACGTAGCCCACGGTCGACGAAGCGATGGGCGAGATGCGCCAAATCGTCCACGACTCGCGGCTGGATGCCATGGCACAGAAGCCGAGCTCGTCGAGAAGTGCCAGTCCCGCCAAGGGCGGCCAGAGCCACAGCCCAGCCCGCCAAGTCAATGACGACGGCCATGGCTGGTGGCCAGCCGCCATGCGAGCCGACGACGAGTCGCCAAACAAACGTACGTGCCGCCGCCAATCGATGTACCGAATGGGGTTTTCGAGTAGAGTGCCAGCAGCACCTCCCGCCGGTGCGGCACTGGCTGCACCGTCTTCAGGATGTCTTTTCAATGGGACTGCCAAAAGTCTCGTTCGCAAACGAAGGGGACGATCCCGAGGAGGTGCTGGATGACGCCGCGCCGTTGATCTCGAACGACGCGCTGGCCCATTCCACTGCCGCTTCGTCGTCGCCAGCCAAGGCCTCCGATCACGTTCGTATCGCGACGGCTGTGGCGACAATGGCCGCGACAACCGAAGCGGACGTGCCCGCCGTCGTCGTCCACACGATCCAGTCCATGCTGGATTTCCCGTCCAACTTGAAACTTCAGTTCCGCGGTCTCCATACCGTCGCCGAGTTCGCCAATGTGCCAGGCACATCCATGGCCCTTGCGCTTCATCGTCACTGTGGTGATGGCTAGACAACCACCGGGCGGCTCTTGTTGTCCTCACGCAATTGAATGGGCTCGACGTCATCATGCGAGCCGCGGAGTCGCTTGCAACGAGCCAGAAGGCACAGATCGTTACGTTGTCGCTCTTGGGCAACCCAGGTACTGCTGCTGTTTGTGGCATGCACTGTTCAGTGATGTGTCGGCATGTACCAGATGTGGTGGAAGCGGTCGCCGACTCGATGCCTGCCGAGTGCCGTCGACTCATTCGCTCCGCGATGGTGCGGTTTCCCACCAGCGCCCGCGTTCAAGGGCTTGGATGCCTCGCCCTAGCCAATTTGGCGGCGCACGCAGTGCATCGTGATGGCGACTCGGTACTCGACCACGGTACTATATTTTCCAGCAAGCTCTCCTTGCAAACTCCCATGGCGGCGCGTCTGCGGATTTCACTCTGATGCTAGCGACGACCCTACGAGGCTGGGACGGCGACAGCAGCGGCGTCGATGCGATTGTGGCTGCCATGAAGCAGTTCCAAGACACCGACGCGAATGTGCAAGCGGCCGGCGCGTGGGCGCTCGCGTCTGTGTGTAGCCTCCATGGTACAACGCATGGCCTGCTTGACGCGGGGCGTTCGTGTGGCGTCGAACCCGTTCGCATCGAGCTTGTGCAGCCCATGACGCTTTGGGCACTCATCCTGATCGTTAGAGGATTTGGTCTATGCGGCGTTGGATGTTGGCGCGTTGAACGCCGTCGAACGATGCAAAGTTACATTTCCAGACGACCCTCGAGTCCAAGCGAATGCAGAGCTAGCGGTCGCGCAGCTGCTCCATCGCCCCGTTCCGCTGCCTCAAAACGATGGATGTGTGGTGCAGTAGATGCCGTCGACGTTTCCGCCTCGTCCAGCCATCCACCTAAGGGGCAATTGAATGCACATCGATTGCCAAGAAATCACTTTCGTTTCCCAAACGAATCCCTCCAGGTCCACATGCCGACCAAACCTCGATCGGCAGAGCCCACGTCGGCGTGCGCTGCATGCGAATGCCCCCACTTCTACAAAAAGCTCCACACGGACACCATGTATTGCTTGGACGACGTCAGATAGCAGGCTCATGGCACGTCTGGTTTGGTGGTCGTGATGGAGAAGTTGTCGTGATCGGCAAATAGTGCATGCAGCAATTCGTGGGTCAAGGCATGTCCTGGTCGAATCCCAACGTAATGGCCGTGGATGGGCAGTCCAGCCAGCGCCAAATCACCGACAACGTCGAGGGCTTTGTGTCGACTCCACTCGTCCGGAAATCTAAGGCAGTCCTACGATAGGTGCAAGCTCGTGGTGGAGATGTCGGTACCTCAATCCGTCTGGATTCAATGGAACGCCACGCTCGTCGAACACGACCGCATTGCTCAAGCTTCCACCTTTCGCCAACCCCATGGCATGCAACCGATCGATGTCTTGGCGGAAAGTAAACGTCCGAGCCGATGCGACTCTACGACCGAACTCGGACAGGTCCAAATGCGTCCATTGCCGCGGCAACCGTCCGGGAAAATCGACTTCCACTGAGATCGTGAGCTCACTGGTGGGCCGCGGCAGCAAGTACGCCGCCTTGTCTGCTTGTACCACCTGTCGCCAGTATAACACGGTCACTCAACATTGTGGGCTGGGCGATCGACAGAGGGGGTAAGTACCTGAACTGGGCGAAGAATCGTCAAGACCGACTGCGGGGACCCTTGCTCGTCGACCCCAGCGCGCTCCAACGCATCCAAAAAACCTGCGCTGCTTCCGTCTAGGATGGGGATTTCTGGTCCTGACACGTCCACGTGGATATTCGTGATCTCGGCGGCATGGATCGCTGCCAGAACATGCTCGACAGTCGCAACTTCAAATCCCGACTCGAGGTTTCGCAGCCTTGTGCAGAAGCCGACAGTGTCGGCCTTGACATTCGAGTAAATGGCTGCAACAGTCCGCGATGCTGGGCTGTTGGCGTCTCGAAATACCACGCCCGTGTTCACGGGTGCAGGTTGGAGTACCAGGCGCGCCTACCCTTCTAGATGAGCCATCCATTGCATCGTCACCGACACGCCGCTACCTTTTCGCCCAAGTGGAGGCCGATTCCTGCTACCTCAACTGCCCGCTGGATCGTTCGCTGCATCATGGAAAGTGTGCCAAGATCCGGTTACATGTCCGGATATGGTTTGTTGCATTTTTTAAAGTAGGCATCCATATGCCTAGTTAAGATCATTTATTTTCTGGGTATCAAGTGCCGAAATATGGATGGTGTTCCCGACTTCCAAGTTGAGTTGCCAAAAAGCATGGCCGAGCAATTTGCTGTAAACGAGATGTGTCTGCAATGGTGCTCGTCCAAAGTCGGCGAATAGATGGCCCAGGCTTGCGATTCCCCTTGCATAGCTCTACTTTGTTAGACGTCATGACCTTACACGAAATAAAGGTCGTGCTGTATATTTCGCTCTGTGACATAAAATATATACCTAAATTAGGCGTTTCCTTGGTAACACGGTGCATTTTGCAATTTTCCACGACGATGGCACAGAACAACGTGGGCAAGGTGCTCGTCGGCTCCTTCGTCGGGATCACCGCGGCGACCATCGGTAAGCATCCTTCTCTATTGTTGAATTGTCTCTTATGATGCAAAGGATATCTGCACGTGTACCTCCCGAACTTCACGGAGCTGGGCCAGCAAGTGCATGACCGAGCGGCATCCACCCAAGCAAGCGGTGCGTCGCCAGTCGCCGGCTCGATGTGGAAGAATTTGAATCGACAAGCTGGAAAACCCGCAAGCAGCAGTCCGGAAGGGTCATTGTCCAACGAATAGCATGTGTTTACACTGAGAGACACTGGTCTACTTTGTCGTGCATCCACGGCGAATGCCCGTCAAGAAGCCATCGGAACGCATGTGTTCGGTGGACCGAGGCGATGTTGGCCTCCCCATGCGTGGGGGCGATGTCGGCGTCCCGATGCGTGGAGGTGATGGATGGCCTTGCTGCGTTGTGTTGTGCATCGTGGCCGTGCGAAAAACGTTGGACCATTGGTGTTGTACCTTGGAAGTGACGACACCCGATGAAGTCATTGGGCCAGACGCTCGCATGGAATCGCGGTGCCTATCGGCATTCGTCAGGTTCGTAGATGGAAGAAGGGCGAGTGTTCGGACCGCTCGAGCCGGGAATGCAGAAGCGAGTGGATGGTGTTTTCGACGAGCGTCAACTTGGACACCGAGTCAACACACAGGACAGCATGTCGGTTGATCAGCTTGCCCATCGAAGTGTACGGTCCCCCACAGTCAAAGTAGAAGCAAGACGTGGATGGCATGGGCTTGTTGTCCACTTGGGGGCCGCGATTCCGCGACGACAGGCACGGGCACACGCTGTCGAGAACGATTTGGATCGCGGTCTGCACTTGCTTGGTACGGTGGTGTTGCTACGCCGTCGTAAGCACCGGCATACGCCGCATACACGGTGCCATGCCACGCATACCTTCTCCAAGTGCTTGAAGAGGAGGCTCGTCTCCTGGATCACTGCGACAGTGTCCCACGCCGCCGCGCTCTGCGCCGGGTTCGTGATGTCGTGGAGCGGATGATCGCCCATGTACAGGACTTTTGAATGCTACATGCATTCCTCGTTTATCGCGAATGATGGTCGCCCACACGAACCTTGGCGCACTTCCACATGGGGTCGAGGAAGGCATGGGTAAGCTCCGTGATGTTGCCTCCTTCATAGACTCTTCCACGCTCGAGACTCGTGGCGGCCGTGATGGACCGCGCGTTCTGCGACGTCGTAAGCACCTCCTACATGCCGATTCATCGCTGGGTGAGGAAGAGCTGAGTCAGTCGAGTACGGGTCGACCACCCGTACGCGGAAGCGACACGCATGGTACGACTCGAAAAACACTTCCTTGGTTGCCTTGGTGAGCACGAGATCGAATAACGACGACCAGTCGGTTCCAATCGCGCACTTCATCACCTGCATGGCACCAGCGATGGAGCTCTTAGGGACATGTTCGACGTCGCCACGTACCGCGTCTGTGTGTTCCCATGACCCGTTCGTCAGCAGAAACACGTTCTTCTTCCATGTCTTCTGCAGCATTTCCAACATGCGCCGCACGCCGCTGTTTATTTGGATCACGGTGTCTGGCGACGTCGACAGCGTTCGCTGACGACACAAGTTCATGTCAATGTCCAGATCGGCTGCGCACCATGGGTTGTGCATTGGCCAAAATGCCAGCATCTCGACGACGCGCTTACCCAGTAGTCTGTTCCGTAGTACGCGCTTGTTGCTTCCAGCGCTATCGAGCATAAAACGCTGTAGACAGACTACCGAACGTCCTGAAAAGGTCCGTTCCGCCATCGACGTCCTACCTCAGGATGCAAGTGGCGCATCTGGTGGTCAATGTCCCCCGACGGAAGCGGCACATAGCCGATTTCAGCTTCAGTGATCTACAACACCATCCAGACGCGCCTCATCTCGACGGCATCGTGTTGGGACGCACCGAGCCGGCTTCGTACTGGTCCACGAGCCACGCGTAAAGCGGTCCAAAGATGATCTCGGCATTCGTGTACAGGTAGCTATACGACGTCGTTCCGGCGCGCTGCTGCTGCACGGGGTAGTGCAGCCCCAGCACGTTCTGTGGCAGCTCGTACGACCCGTGGAACCCGCGAATGACTTCGTGGGTGCTCGTGATGTACAGCAAGTTGCCTTTGATCGTGTCGACCGCGATGCCGCGAAAAGCCAAGTGCGGCAGCCACACGGGTGGTTGCGCCGTACGCAAGTTCATATAGTTCTACCCACGACAAAGCCGTGGGCTCGTACCAGCCACACATTTCGTACCGCCTGGACATGCGTGTATGCTTTTTCAAACGACAGCTTGAGCAGCACGTCGAGCTTAAACTCGACTAACGTGTGGTCGACGTCGAACCCGACCCATCCGTAGTCGTCAAAATGGAGCCGATGGACGTCGTTGTGCTGGAAAAACGAATGGTCACGAGCGATGCGCGCGCTCCATGTTGAATGGCCGCATGGACCAACCAGAACGTACGGTGGAGAGCGGTCGGCCGTACGAACTCGTCATGTTGAACGTAAAGTGCTTGGCCCGCATAAAGATGTTTCGGGCCGCATACACTTGGCTAAAGTTGGATTTGTGCACATCCATGCACTCTTTCCAGAACGCATCAAACTGCCCGAGATAGATCGATCCATGAGTCCCATTGTCGATCGGTCCACACGGCGCGCGCGCGGGCTTTACCTGGGGCTGCGTAAGCCACGTGCGATAATCGTCTTCATGAATCCGTTCGAATGCTTCGACGGAGGTGCAGAGGAGAATGTCGCGTTGCCGGCGTTGAAGATACACCTACATCAATACTCGATTTCAATGGAGCGGCAATGCCGTCGGAGGCGCACCAGCATGACCGACACCATGGCCGCACACCCGTTGACCATGATGTGGTCAATCATTCGAAGCCGCAGCTCCGATGGAAAGGCCTCGGTAAGAGGCACAACCATGAGCTTCCAGTAGATGGTTCGTGGTAGGTGCAGCTGAACAATCGTGTTGTGCACCCCAGGCAGCTACGTTCAAAATGGGATGGTCCTGTATCGATGTTCTGCACGTGAACGCACCAACACTTGAATCGTCGACTCGATAGTGTCCAAGCACACGGCTGCAATGTCCCCAAACGGCAAGCATGGCTTTGGGTTGCGTGGCTGCTGCTCACGCTAGAATGCAGAGCCATGGTGAGCTTGACCACATGGACGTGCTGACGGGGGTCGCCACGGGCCGGGAGCCATCTGCGACGCTTACATGCAAAAGGAACCCAAGAATCTTGACGACATCTGCGCGATTCCGCACCTCTGGCGCCACAACTCGCACAATCGCGGCAATCTACGGTGATTCGCAATGGATGATCCGAATGAAGCCTTTCGGACGGCACGTACAAACGGCACCGTGGCCGAGTCCACGACCATGAAATTGCTCTCGTTGAGCTCGATAATGATGTCGCGAATGTACTTTTCGTCAACGTTGTTCGGGTGCTGGCTGCGCATGCTTTTGCCGCTCTTGTGACCGCCGCTTCGACTCGATCGAAGACTCGAGTCGATCTTGTCGGTGAGAATGCCGAGCGCGCCCGATCCCTGTTCCCACATCGTCCCCATGTACGCCACAAAGCTCTACGAGCGAAATTTGCATGAACCTACAGGTACGCGCGGATGAGTATTACCAGAGACATTTTTGCCTTGGTCCTGTGCTTCATCTCGGTCGCAATGATGTCCATCCAGATATGCCGCCGCTGCACTGACAGCGGGATGCCGTTCGCCACCATCACCGTGAAGTTCTTCACCGACATGCCATGCCATGCCACCAAGTCATCCGTCACACTCGCTCGTGGCTGGTGCAGCGCCATCCTGCTGCACCAATTGACGGGAAAAAATCGAAAGGTCGCGAAGGATCCAAAACATCTCACCATAGAACTAAAATGTGCGGAAACAGACATTTGAAAAGGGTGACGGGGAATATAGACATTTGAAAGGTGTGATGGAATGTCATGCCGAGTTGCGTGGTTGAAATCGCTGAAGCTGTTGGGGACAATTTATGTGGACGGCAGCGTTTCGATCCTTGGAGACGAGGTCAACCGAATGCAGCTGTCCAAAGGAGGGCGACGCTGGCCTGTCATGGAGCGATGGAGTCGACGCGACTGCCGGATTCGATAGACCACATTCTGTACGCCAGTATAAGCACGAATACAGGTCCAATGTTTGCTTAGCACTGTGTGTTGGTCTTGGTTGAGTTGAAGGCAATTTCAAAGGGGGACGAGAGGCTCATTGCAGATGCAGAAATTGTGTTTCATTCGAGGAGCTGAAGGTGGATGTTGTACAGGGCGAAGAGGATGCTGGCGAAGAGGAGGGCGTCGACACGATCGAGGAAACCACCGTGTCCTGGAATGAGGTGGCTCGAGTCCTTCACGTCGGCGGCGCGCTTGATCAGGCTTTCAAATAGATCTCTATGGCATGTACCAAACGTCGTCATCAATCCAAGCAGCGGTGTGCTGAGAGTACCCGCATCGACTAAACAATATGGCGGCAGTCGTGACGGCGACCTTAGCAATAATTCCCGTCGCCGTCATGTGCAGGATGTTGGTGGCGATGAACATCGCAACGAGCCCGAACACGACGCCTCCGACCGTCCCCTCGATGTCCTTGTTGGGAGACAGGTGGCGAGCCAGCGGGTGGAATCGCTTGTAGCCTATGTTCCGCAGCAGGTGACCTGTAAAGTAGCTGCCGGAATCAGCCGCCCACACCGTGAACAAGAGGACAAGGACATTCTTTCGGCCAACCGACACCGCGGACAAATCGACAAAGTTGGACAGGATCTGGATGAGACCGACGATGTAGACAACGCCGAGCTGATCCAACAGCATCGACAAGTACGCGCTCGGTGTGTCGTCTGCGGCCATCAAGTGCACTGCGCACATGACAAAGGATTGCGCCGTCAGGACGAACCCTGTGTCAATCACGTACGAGCAATGCACGTCATCGTAGGGGCATAGCAAGGAATCCATGATGATAATGAGAAATGAGATTTGACTGACGACGATCGAGACGGCGGCGGGGACGTTCGGGGAGAAGAACGCGCCACTGGTCGTGACGGCCGCCGACACGGCAACGTACGGGAGGAACGTATAGTAGAAGAGTGTGGGGGTGACGTCGATGGTATCAACATAAAATAGTCCGAGGAAGAATGCCGCAGTGGCAACGACCACTGCGATCGACACAAGAGCCACCACGACCAGTCGGGGTGCATGGATCCATGCAAGAGGTGCGGCGGTATGTGCATGGGGTCGAGAACTGAGCGGCGGTAAGTTCGCGGGCTGTCCCAGTGAAGATGGAACGGGCGATGGTGCAAGCATCAACGCTTTGATATGTACGACGAGCCACGAGTATTCGTACATGCACAGAGCCAGAAGCGTTGCCATGAGCGCTGACGTGGTCGCACGAGGACACAAGACGAAGACCAGGACCACCGCGGTGGCCAACACAACGCCTGCAACTAGCCGCTTGACAAAATTGCGGCACAGTGACTCGCCTGTGCCACTCGGCGGCGCGGGAATATCCATAAGGTGTCGAATACAAGAGCGAAGGGGTGCAATCCGGATATATCCGGATTTCTCGAGGCTGTTACAATTTTAGGCTCACTACTACATGACACTACAATTGGACGAAGTGCCGCCGTGTCGCGCAGACACGAGCGCCTCCAATTCCCCGGCTGCCGCTTCAAACTGCGAAATAAAGTGGCCACGATCGGGTATGCGGTCGAATCCACGCTCGTGAATGAGCTTGTTGCGAATGGTTGCGAGAAATCGCATTTGCTTGACCAGTTGTGGCGACAAGCTCCCGCTGACTGCTGTGATTTTCTCGTGGAGACCTTTGCCCGTCGCACCGAACTCACACTCCAAGATGTACTCCAGCTCTTTCGAGCACTTGATCACGAGCTCGTAGTCGTTGCCTGATGCACGTTGTTAGACCCCCTATAGATGCGATCAGTCCACGTACTCGAGTGCACATACTTGGAACTCGTCGCTCCCATCGCCACAATCAAAACTGCTGCAGCGGCATATCCGGATAAGCACTTCGAGAATTCGGATATTTGAATTTGATATATCGCTTGCATGGATTGGCTAAAATTCAAAAAGCTCCTGTGTACGAGCAAGTTGAACCTGCCTAGACATGGGCTCGGCGGTCCATGGCAACCGGCGTGCACTTCGGTGTACCATGGTGGAACGAGCGCGGCCGTCAAGCTGAAATGGCTCCTCTTGCGATGCATCTTGTGGTCCCTCTGGCCGTCCAAGGACATTCGCACGGAGAGGTGTCCATTGCAGATAGCGTTGATCGTACAACTTGGTCGTGCAACACTTCCCCAGTCCTGTTGTCCTGTTTCGGGGGCACCAGCTCGACACAACCACGTGGCGTTGCCGCCGAGTCGCCGATCTATCTCACAACAAGCGCTGCAACTCTCAAGTCACGCTTTGTCGCCTTCGTTTCCACGCAACAAACGGTCGCGTTGATTCATCGGTGCGTATAGGTAATATACTAGACATACCTTGTCTGAACGACAGATCCAGTCTCCATCAAGTCACATCAAGTCACTCGTCGAGAGGGTTCGTAGATGATATCTTGAGCGACCCAAGGACCCGCTTACTTGCCTCCTCGCGGCCATCTCGACCCAAGGACATGGTTGTCCTCGAGTCCGACGAAACCAGTGCCTCGCAACACAATCAACACATATCCGTGGAAAGCACGACCCTGGACCCGTGGTTGAGAGCTTGTTTCATGTGCCAGCGCTGCGCTCATATACCGCCCGAACCGCCCCCGCTCCCAGCAAACACCAGCGCTCGCATCGCGATGGCTTCACGCGTGGATGCCCGTGCGGCTCGAGACTGCGCGGTGGGTACGCCCAGACCTGATTTGACGCAATCTACACCAGCTGGCAGTCCCATACAAATTCCAAGTATAATCGACCACCGTTGGTGGTGTAACACTGCAAAATCAGCTTGAGTACTTAATCGAATGGTTCTACATTGGTACGTACTAGTACATCGCGTTGTGTGGGGATCCGTGATGTTTCGGGGTGTGGAGCTCCTGAACAAGCAACAGATCCGCGCGAGTGCATGTTTGGGCGCTTCCCGTGGGCGATGTGCGTCGATTGGGTGGTACGGTGCTGCAGTGGCGGAGAGCTGGACGAGCGCGTCCAAGAAACCGTTGGTGTGAGTAAAGGTACCCCCGACCAGCATTCGGTAAAGTACCAATTCCAGTTTCTCGCCCACGAGCGTGACCAACTGCATGGCGGTGCTGACCACCTGATTGAGGCCAGCGCACGACGCCCCAGCCGCGTGATGGCCATGACCACTACCCTCGGTCCATCTGTGTCGCACACATCCAATTCGATTGCGTCGATCTCGGTCGTCGGAGGCGGTGCAGCTGCTCTACCCCCGCACCGCGCATGGACGCCAACACCCAAGCCGGCGACAACGTGAAGGCCGACTCGACGGACGGCTTTCACATCCACTTCACGGCAGCCAACTTCCGGCCACAGTACCAACGCAACAACAAAAAGGGCGGGTTGAAAAACCTGCGGTGTTTTCCGAATTGTTGTAGCGGCACGCACGCGACAACGGGTTTCTGCGGGGGCTCGGTCCTCGTTGGCGTTCGCCCCGAGCACGTCCGCGGCCGGCGGCAGCTCGCCATCTACGCAGAGTTTTGCAGCATCGTGGATGGCCGCCCCCAAGGCCACGCGTCGCTGCATGACACGTTCACCCAAGCACAGATCCACGATCTGTCCAACAAAGACCTGGACGTCCATGCTCCATGGTACACTGGCGACGTCCTCCAAGGCTCCCACGAAGAAGGATACATCTACAGCATCAACACATTCAAGCGCGGGTGGCACTACGGGTGGACGAGCAACCGGCACACGAGCATCACGCAGCATGTCCTGTGCGTGTACGCGTTCGAGTTGCAAGGAAGTTATGCGCCCGGCATGATCCCAAACGACGCGGTCTGGACATGCATCTGCGCGTCGCCGAGTCCGCAGTTTCAACTGTACTGCCGACGACGAGCAAAGGCGCGGACGTCGGCCGCCACGAAAGAGCCTGCCTTTGAAGACGACGACGATGACGACGCCGCGATCAAGGTTGAAAGCCCCGACGATTACGAGGACGACAACGATAGCGTCGACTACCAGTACGAGCCGAGCAAGCGCCACCGACGAAGCCAAGACGTTGACGGCACAACCAACCAGTTTGACGCCTCGTTCGTCCAGCCTCATCCAGTGCATGTCGACGAGAGCAGGACCATGGTCCATCGCCCGCTCCCCCCACGCCACTATGCGTCCGCCGACCGCGAATTCCTCCTCCCGCCATCGTGTGTGATGGAAATCCCAGAGCTCGTCGATTTCTGTAAAATGCAAGATTGAACCCATCGTGATCCCACCGCGTCCTCTGTCGAGCGCACCCACGCACGCGGCATGAAAAAGGGGCGCTGCCCAAGCAGAGCGACGTCTCCCGTCGTCGCCAAACCTGTTGCGGGTGACTCACGTCGTTACATCCGTGTGCCGGCCCGTCGGTGTGGGTCTCTCGCAGCAATTCTTCCCGGGACTGGTGGTCACCCGCACTTACGGTGAATGGTGGGTTGGCACACATGGCCATAGAGCTTCAGATGGACATGACGAGTACGATCTACGGGACCTTACCTGGATGAGCCGTCCTTCGATCTTGGTTGCGGGAGGATGTAACAAGGCGCCGACCATCGTGCGCTCGACATGATCCCAAGTTGAATAGGTTGCATCTCTTCCACATGTTTCGACGTCGGGCCAGCGTGGCTGAACTCGAACGGCATAGCGTCCATGCTGTGTGGCGAAGTGGTGTTGCAGAGGAAGGCAAGGGCGGCCCCCTTCACAAACGACACGGTAGCCGATCTCCTGCGTGCTCATCCGCGTCTTCATGCAGAACATTGACCGCCGTCAGGCGTCCTTGTGACACTGCATACCACTCTATTTGATGTTTCTGCGTTGGCTTCGACAGTGGTGGCCCCCTTGCGCCTAGTGCTCTTTTCACGTCGAGTTGACACGCGCGAATCTTCCGTCTGCCACGTCATGCTGTATGAAGTGACCTCCACGTACACATGCAACAGTAAGCTCTCGAACGCGATGGCGCGTCATGGGTGTTTCAAAGCGAATGCTTTGTGTTTGGCGGTCCACTGGAGCTTCGTTTTACAACGGGGATGGGTTGAGTGGACATTGAGCAAGGGAATTGGCGTCGACTCCAACACATATTCTCACGTCAATGTCGTGGGTTAGTCGGACGGATGCTCTAAAAACACGACGGTGCATGTGATGTCGTCGTGGATGCTCCGCCGCGCCGGCCCCTTGGTTAACGCGAGCAATTCGTGCACCGCCATGCCCTCCCTTCGAGCGGCCTGCACATTCCCATTGCATGAATCTCCTGTTTATGATTGAACAACAAAACGAACAAACCTCTTCCAACGCCATGTGCACCAGTGCCGCGCTCGCCGATGGAATGGGGTTGTCGGCGACGTGTTGGGCCGACGACACTACAGGTCCATCAGCCCCGCCACTCATTCACGCAACGCTTCTTCGACGACGTCTCGCATGGACTGTACCATAATTCGACACGACTTGCACCGCCAAGAGTGGAGGGACCAATTCCCACAACCCATCGCTGGCAAGGATGACAAACTTGTCTTGCTTGGTCAAAGCATGCACGACCACGTCCGGTTCTACCAGCGTGACGCAATGACATAGGCTGTGTCGCGACCATCGCACGGCAATACAAACCTGCTGTGATATACGGGACCTTGGGCTTGTACGGCATCGAGCTAAATTCTTCCGCCTTGAGGTACCAGTCGCCCAGCGCCCGTGTCACCATGAGGCTCCCAGCGACGCGCTTCGCCCCACCGTACTCTGCTCCAGGTCGATGTAGCTGGTCGTCGTGGCTAAGTCGAACCGCATTTCGGTCGTTGCTGCGTTCGATCACTGACGAAAGGCCCAGTATCAATGCAAGGGTCGGAAAAATAATGGCAAGTCGCACCTCGTTTGACTTCATCTGGGTTATTGCAGTCGTGCAACGTACTCAAGACCTTGGCGTCCCACGTGATATTGTGGCCGTGCAAAGGCGTGGCTTCACGCTCGAGCCCAAGCACCGCTTGGCAGTCCCCGACGTTGGCCACGTACAGCTTGTCCCCTAGAATACTATTTGCTCGCGAATAACGTGCATCACGTTGTACCATCAAACACAACAGTGACTGCGCATGACCCTGTGTTGCAGTACCCTCTGGACGCCTTGACGGTGGGTCCATACGCCGTGAGTTTGTCCTTGAGTTGCTGGTCGCAGGTGAGAAACGACTGCCTCAAAATGTCCTGAACTAGCAATGGCGACGACGCCGATAGGGACTTTCGCTTGCTTGGTACGATCACTCTTGTTTCATCTTTGCTTGTGTCATGCTTGTCAGACCGACGCAGATGCAACGCGTCTTGGATGATCCGGCCTAGTGTATCCTGGATAAAGTTGACCGCGATGTCCCCGCCATGACCGTCGTACACGGCATACATCGCAATATCACCGTCGATCCAATGTTCATTTCGATCTTCGCCGAGTTGATTGCCTTCGTAACTCGTCGTGCAGTGGCGCAATTTGTACTTTTCCAATTGCCGAACGGGCGACACCGACGTTGCGACTTCCAGTTTCGCTCCCTTTGGCGTCCATCCACAGTACCATGACACGCTGAGGTCGTCGAACGTGATTTCTTCCTTTGCACACACAGCGGCGAGTCCCACGGCCGTACTTGGGGTCATGACACATTGACTTGTCCGATGCAACGTCACAAGCAAGTCGTCGCCATTCTCCACCAATTCCACAAGCACCAACACCGATGCTGTCGTCACATCCCCTGAGTCGCGATTTTCACTCAATGGACGCAGAATGGTAATCCCACACTCGCACTGCATTGCCAACGCGCCTGCCAATGCGAGGAGCTGTGGCGACGCATCCCACTCGACGCCCACATGAGTGAACTTAGTCGATTCGAAGTGCTGTTGAAGCTGCATGGAGAAAGCTCTGACACCGTCCGAGGATCCGATCAGCTTGTTCAGGTTGAGTCCACATCGAGTGAGCCGCAGAAGTGCCGCCCAATTCGCCGCGTCTTTCGCGCGCTTTCGACTCATGCAACCCAACGCCAATCCGAAAGAAGCCCGGCCTTCTTTCTTTCGGATAATGAAGCCATTATCCGAATACTCAACGTTTTAAAAAATGTTAAAAAGTTGAACGAATTTTGGTAAGTATTTTGACGGATTTTTGACGACTTGATAGTTCGGCTATGTACCTACGATACCTTTGCAGACGGTGCATAACCTTCTTTAAAGTACCAGATTCTCGTGGTTATTCCTTTCAAAGTCTGCAGTGACTCCTCCGCGTAGGCGCATCTTCCGATCTGGCGGCGGTCACCATGGACGACTCGTTGAGCTGGATCCTGCTTCCTGGCATCTTGTTGTTTTTGTTACTCAGTGTTTGGGCATATTTGTGTCTCCGGGGTGAACTGGTCGGAGAAGGCCGCAGCGGCGCTGAATCCTCCGCCGGGTCGGAAACGAGAAAGCAGTTCTTCACACTCTTGCTTCTGTCAGCCGGCACACGCTTCGTGAGTTTGTGTGTGGACATGCTTGCTATCTCTTTGACTCCGGATGCCGACTCCGAGGCCGAGCTGATCTCGGACGACAGCAACACGTACGCCTGGCTGGTACCATCGTCATTCCATGTCGAGTAATCCTCTCAACCCCTGTCGTGCAATGTAGTCGTCTGTCGTGTCGCTCCTTCCCGCGCTATTCTTCGTGTCGACATATTCGCTGTTGATTTTGTTTTACGCGCAACTGTGTACTGCTGCCGTGTACACCTCGAGCTTTCCGCTGCACAAGGGCATCTACGTCGTATGCAACCTGCTCTTGTATCTGGGCTTTCTCGTCCTCCTTGTCCTGTGCACAACGTCGTCCATGTTCTGGCAGTGGACCCAAGGCATCCTCGGCGCGTTTTACCTGCTGGGGCTGCTGGCGGTGCTGTACTACTCGCTTCAGCTCATCTTGTTCTTCAAGACGAGCCACCCAGACGACGAATTCTTTTTCGACATGCATCTCCACCGTGGGTTAACGCCACGGCAAATCGTCATCCAGCGGGTACGTCTCCGAAATGCCAGGGTCTCCTTACGACGGTGTGCCACAGATCATGTGGGTGTGTGTCATGTGCTGCATCCTTTTCTGCGGCCAGAGCGTCTACCTCATCGGCATCTCCACCGGCCTCGTTCCTTCCATCCATCATCGCACGCCGGACGGGGTGTCTCCGTATGCATTTGAAGTCGGGCAGTACATTGCCACCGAGTTCCTTCCCTGCGCCCTCCTGCTCCTTGTCACTCGACGGAACCCCCTGAACGAAAACTCGCCGCACAAACTCCGAGATGACCTTGACCACACCCACCTCCTCCCCGAAACCAGTGGATCCAACCGACCGGACGAAGCCTCGTACTTGTACCAGGTACGTCGTTCACGTCCACGACGGACTCGATCTCACGCATTGCGCCACTCAGAACCCGCCGCGACCATACTTTCCGCGCAATAGCAGCAGCGGTGTCTTTGACCGGTCGCCCGTCGCCGCCTCCTCTTCCACCAAACCGACCTTTGTCTAACTTACGAGCAACTCACTCGTGCCTGGCCAGGCTCACATACACTGTGCAAGCATCGACAAGCAATTTCTCGTCCACCACCGTGCAATTTCTCACGCCTTGAACTGTCCGTTGACAAGCGGCAGGAAATTCCCGACATATAATCGTCTATATAAAGTCCCTCCTCGGTCGAGAAGAGGTCCGAATCTTCTACCCAATGCACGACCAACCCCGACAACAAGCTTGAACCCGCTTGCATGCTGCGATTTCCTTTGCGTGGGGGGCCCGTGCTGTCGACCTCCAATGTCGCTGCCGAACCGGTTGCCTTCCACCGCTCGATGCGCTGTTTGAGTTGTCGACGCAGTGTCAGCGGCTGCGTCCTCCATGGTACTAGCAGGGCCTGCCGCTCTGGACAGTCGAGTCGCGTCCGTCATCAAGGCACTCCTTGTCACCGCCGACTTGGCGCGCAGTCGGATCGTCGTCAGGTTGCCGACGTCGGAGGCCGACGCGTGCAGAAGCTGGGCGGTGTTTGGTGTAAGTGTCTTCAACCCAAACAAAACAAATGTGTCATCCCAGCTGACGAGGTGGCGACTTGAATCTGGTCACGTTTTGTGATTTTGACAAGGTGGGTAACAAAAATAGACAAATATTTGGTCACGTTGTTGTTAGGCGTGCCATGCAACATCAATGAATGTAACGTTCGTTTATCGAGTCAGCCCATGCCACTTTCGACCTCGCCACCGCCGACGCAAGATGAAGTGCCTTGCCGTTGCCTCTGCCATCGCCACCACGCTCATTGCTGCGCAGGATGTTGAATGCGACGTTGGCGCTATCGCAAAGGCGTTCGGACCGATCGTCGGGGACCTGAACGAGTGCATGACGGCGTCGGGGTACCAGTTCCTCCCGACGCCGTTGGCGCGACCGACCCAACAACAATTGACGCTCTTCTGCTCCGTACCCGAGTGCGATAAGGCGGCGACAAGCTACGCTGGCATTGCCAAGACCCTTCCCGCGTGCCAGTTCGTTTTGGACAACCAAGCAGTCCCAACGACAGCGTTCTTTTCGACCTTGTGCCCCAACTACGGTGGTCGAACAGGTCGACCTGCCACCACCACCACTATGGCCCCTACCACCACATCGAGCCAGACGACGACGGCCGCGCCAGCGTTGGTTCAAACGTCGACGTCGACGCTCGTCCAAGCGTCCATGGCGGCGCTCGTGGCGGTCGCAACCATGATGTTGTAAACGCAATGCCGCTTGTTCGAATGCATGTTCATGTGATGTTTTCTTGTACTTCGCGTCCTCGACGTGGCCATGCGTGGGTCGTGAGGGTTTGGATTTCGCCGGCGAGCTGAGTACCCAGGTCACATCGGCATGTGCCCCAGCGGCTGCCGCATGGCGGTGACTGCTTGGTCCTGGGCCATCACTGCCTAGCTTGCGGCCGTGGGTAGGAGATAGGTTGTCTCGTCGACGACCCTGACCACCGCTTCGCGTGGGCATGGACGTGCGGGAGTAGCTCCTGGCCATTCGAGTAGCGTGGTGCAGCGCTGAATCTTGCAATTGTGGCAACCTCGCAGCTGCAGCCATCGTGCCACTGACGGCCTGACCCCGTGCAACTTCCTTCGTTGGCTGCATGTCCCATGCGGCCGTGGAGATGCGCGCACACACACCTGTCGATGTCATGCAGAGAAGCAGGCCGTCGTGGCCAACGACGAGCTGGAGAGCTTCCGCAGAACTGTCGCATGCGATGGACACGGCCCGAATGCAGGGCTTGCAGGGATCGAAGATGGACGTGCGTCGTCCCGACCACTCGGCAGTCCCTCGGTAGCACGAACTTGCAATCGTGTAAACGGCGACGGCATTCCTTGCGATGGTATACGAGTCGTGTAGGGCCGCTTCCATACACCATCCTCCGCGCGCATGCGGCGTGAAGCGGTCGACACAAAGGCTGCGTCCACACGCACGAGTCCCTTTTCGTTATCGCATGCAGGCGGGAGCCATGAATTGGGGCACGAGCTGCAGAGCGACGCGAGGGGCCTTGGTAAGCGCCAGTCCTACGCATGCGACCGCCTCCACGACGTGGTCCACGCCGTCGTCCACTCGCAACATTGCTCGCGTCATCGCCGCTGCTGCATGTACAGACCTCGGAAATTCCATCGCGTCATGGCCATCCTCCTCGTCGGCACCCATGCACGCACCCTGCGTGCAAAATTGCTCTCTTCTTTGGTGCAAAATTGCTCTCTTCTTTGGTCCATCGTCTCGAATTCGGTGGGTGGCGAACGCAGCCATCCACTGACGGACGGCACACCAGCGATCGGTCGTGGGAATCGTAGCTGTGCCGCCCGACTCCATGCGCGTGACCTCGGCGGTGTCGAGGTAAAGACAGGGCAGACGGGTGGGCATTTGCTTCACAGCAATCCTAGGATGGCGGAGGAATCTGCGCACATTGATCGACCGTGGGGCGACCGTGCGTGCTCCGACCTTCCATTGATTCTTACATCACATGCCGCAGCACGACAATCGGCTACGCAAAGAAGCTCTCGGCACTCGTGTTGGTGGCGTGCAACCTGTGGCTCGTGCCACCGATCACCGCGCCGCATTCCGGGCACGACGCTTCCTCCATTGCGCCGCCGCACTCGGTAATCACGTACGGGTGGCCCGATGGACATTGGTACCTACGCATCCAAGTCAAAACCTTCCACATGTCATGCTGCACGCCGACCAGTGGCCGCCAAACCCATGCGCGTAAGCGTCTTGTCCCGTCGCAAACACCTTGAAAATCGCATCCTTTTCCTCCTTGGACAGCGTCCCCACGTTTTCTGCCACCGTAACCAAATCCTGCGCTAGCTCCAACGTTGCTGCCGCCACGGGGTGCGCGCTGGTTTGCAACGCACGCAGCGACTGGCGCAGCTCCTGCACGAGCGCATCCTTCGACACCTTCATGCCATTCGAGACGGCCTGTTTGTAAAAGGCCAGGCGAAGCTTCATGCCCACCAAGAGCACGTCGTTCGCCGAGCGGTGCGACGACGCTTGAAGGCAAGTCTGGCGCAGCGATTCCTCCAGTTTGCAGCCATCGTCGTAGTCTGCGCGGAGTTGCGCGGCAAACGTCTCGGAAGTCAACAGCGTCTTCTTCAACACGTGCAGCCGCAGCACCAAGAGCTCCAGCAGCTCGAGGCCCAGCATGATCCGCGTCTGGCTCGTCATGACGTGGCGGTAGGCGTTCAAGTTGAGCGAATCCCCGGCACACCCCAATCGCGCCAACCGACTCGACTCTTTCGTCCACATTTCCTGCGTCGGCGTTTCCGCCGCGACAAATCGGCGGAGCTGCACCACCTTGTTGCTGAGGTCGTCGGCCGAACTCGACGCCCGCATTGCCTGGGCGCGCGCTATCTCGTCGGTGACGACGTGGAAGTACTTGAGCTCCGACAGCATGACGTTGCTGAAGTTGATCAACCGGCCGTACCGGTGAACGCCTCCGACCGGCGCACGACACGTTGGGCACGCATATTGCGCGCCCCCTTGCGACGGCGCCTTGAGCGGCGTCGGGCTGACCCACTCGCCCACAGCGTTCCTCGTATAGAACGCTGCCAAGTCCATGCATCCATCCATCGTTTCGATCGTAAAGCAGTGGCCACATCGGAGGCGCACGAGCGGCGACTCGTCCGGATCGTGGTCGGCCAGCATCGTGCCCATGATGAGATCGACCACCTGACTGTGCTCGGAGTCAAGGGCAGGCGGGCACTGGCGACAGTACGACGGGGAAAGGCACGGTTCCCCACACAGGCCCGGGCATTGATGGCCACAAGCCAGCTCCTTTGTGCACCGCTTGTCGCAAGGCAGCCGCGTGCATGGACTCCCGCACGGAAGTTCGCACGTCCCGTTCGAATGCGAACATGTCCACGTGCATGGCTCTGCACACGATGCGCACGGCTCTTTGCACTGTCGCGGGCATGCTGAATGACGACATTCGGTGCGACAACGCGCTTCGCACGGCGGACAGGCCCCGGTCGGATGGCACGGCTCCATGCAGTTGTGGCCACACAATAGCTGGCGGTTGCAACGACGGCGGCACTTGTCGACATGGGCGGTCGATGCGCCGGCAGCGTGCATGTCGGCCAACGAGGCGGTGCTGCCGTCCGGCACGCGGCTGTGCAGACATACGTGGCACGCTTCCTCGCATGCATGGCCACACCCGTCGCGGACGACGCCGCATCTCGTGCGGCACTTCTTGCTCATCTTCCACAGCTCGTTCTTGTCGTTGTCATCCATCGCGCGCTGGAGGTGGCGCGCAACGGCACACGACATTGTGTTCGAGTGGTTGCAAAAAGGCATGGATACCGTCATCGTGGTGGTGCAGCGCAGGGGAGCGGTTCCGTGGACCTCGGCGCACAGAACGTTGTGGCGCTCGTGGCCGCACGGCAGAGTGACATGGGCAATTCTTTCGTTGCAGCGGCACGACTCATAGCACCGGGCAATGCACAAATGGCCACACACCGTCACACGCTTCACGCACGGCTCCATGCACTGGACAGCCATGTGGCGGGGATCATCTGCATGACACAGTTTCACGCAGGTATGGCCGCAGTTGAGGCGGCAATCGCACGGACGCAAGCATCCGCCGTCCGGAGAGAGCTGTCGAATGTCGCTGGCCGATGCAACTTGCGTGATCGTCCCATGGTTTTGGCACCGCAACCCGATCGTGCGCCCAATGCGCTCCTTGTCTTGAAGAATATCGAGCACGCCGTTGAACATTTTCGCCTTGGCACATCGGCGGATGGTCGACACCGACCCGAGCACGTACATGGCGTGCCTGGCGCGCGAGAGCATCACATTCACGCGGTTGAATGTTTTGAGAAAGCCCGTGCGCCCGCTGTCATTGTTGCGCACCGTCGAGATAAACACGAGGGGCGACTCGTTCCCTTGAAAGTTGTCGACCGTCGACAGCCGCACAAACTCCCGCAGCGACTGGACCGCGACCTTCGACGCTGGGCGGCCGACCAAACGCTCGTCGTCGGCGTCGTCGTCCATGTCGGCGGCACGCATCGCTTCCACGTCCTTGTCCTCGAGCGCCACTCGAAAGTTTTTCCCACTCAAGTAGCTCCGAATCAAGACGAGCTGGCCGAGATACGGCGTCAAAATCGTCATGTCCTCCAAGCCATAGCCCTGCCGCACCGCGTGGGCCACGAGCTCCACAACCAACTCGGCTTCAAATGAATTCTTGCAAGACAAGTCGTTGGTGTTTTCGCCATGGTCATGGTCGATAAACCACAAGTTGTGGGTGAAGCCGCGGGTCGTGGCGGGGTACGCAACAACATTCGGGCCGTCGCACAGGCGCGGGTACAGCGTCCACCGAATGAGGTCGCATATTTCCGGCCGCATGCGCCGCTGGACGTGCAGCGTCACGAGCGAGCCAGGAACCGCGGCATCGCTCGACGCTCCGTCCTTTCGCTCGTGGACCAGCCGCTCAAACAACGACACGTCCAAGTCGTAGCCTCGCTTCGCCTCGTGAGTGAGAATGTGCTCGTTCAGGATCGGCCGCAGCTGCTGGTGATCTCCAATCTGGATGACGTGCTGCGTGGCCGACGTCAGGCACGAAAGAAGATGGGCCGCAAGCACCTCGCCCGCTTCTTCGCACACGACGACGGTCGGAGCCAGCGCGCGCAAGAGCGCGTGGTACTTGGCAGCCCCCGTCGTTGTTATGCCCACCACGTTGGCCGTCTTCAACAGACGCAACGATTTCGCATTGCTCACTTGGTCCGCCTCCGCAACACACCTTTCATACTCGTCGAGCTGAGTCGACATGTTTCGCTTGTCAAACGCTTCCAACGCTGCGCGCCACGTCGCAATCTGGTCGCGGCGCTGCTGGGCGCTCATGGCCCACATTCCACCGGCGTTGGGTTTCGCCTCGCCCTTCTTCCATGCTTTCCATCGCGCCTTGTGGTCCTTGTTGCTTTGACCCTGTGCGGCGAATCCGTCGCCGTCGACCGACCCGACGATCGAAGCAAACTCGTCGGAGACATACGTTTTCACCCACTGCATCAACGACACGGTCGGTCCACCAGGCGTCGTCCCGAGCTGGTCTAAAAACGAGGTCTCGATATCGCGGCATTGCCGATGTAGCTGGCCATAGCGAATCTTTTCTTGCCGGGACGAGAGGTTGACTTGCTCCAACAGTTGCAACGACCGCTTTTGGAGCATCTCCGACTTGGAGTAGGCGCCAATTCGCACAATCGACGTGACGCGCAGGCCGTCCTTGACCAAGTCTTCCAGAAACTGATCGAGCGCGTGGTTTGTGTAGCACACGCACAGCAGTGGCCCGACTTGCAGGCCGCGCTGCTGAACAATAGCGTGCACAATCTTGGTGCCGACGTAGCTCTTTCCAGTGCCAGGGGGGCCTTGGATCAAGCACACCTGCTGCGTGAGCGCAGCGGCAAACGCATCAACCTGCGACCCGTCCAACGTCAAGCATCCTTCCGTCTCCAGTGGCCGGAGGACGCCCGCTAGCTGCTCGAAATCGACAATGGGCACGCGGGACAGATCCACTCGCTGGCGGAACGCCGCCTTGACGAGAAATTGAAGGTTGTACGCATCCAGTCTCGACACATACGCAGGCTTGGCCTTCCACGCAGGCTCTGCCGTGCCACTCCCAAACAGGCCTTCCTGCAGCTCTTTCCGCAATGTTCGCGTGTTGTGTGCCTGCAGCGCTCGCAAGACGGGCTCGTACGATGGAAAAAACAGGCCGCGAACCTCCACGAGGAGATTCTGGGCGCGCGAGTTGGACAGCGCGGCGATATGGTCGGCCGTCTTGGACGTATCGCAGATCCGCACACTGATCGAAAAGTCGTCCTCGGACGACGTCAAGTCGACAAGGTTGCTTTCGCACACGGTCGCAAACACGAGCGATTCGGCGGCGAGCCCGGCGTAGCGCGGAAAGCCGCCGTCTGCGTGGCCCTCGTGCGCCGGTCCGTGGTCAAGGTGGACATTACACGCGATGCACACAAGTGACCCGACCTTGTACCGCTGCTCGCGTTCCCAAAATGCCTTGAGGTCCTTGGGCCGGACGCCTTGACGACCCAAGGGCTGCTTGGCCTTGATCACAAACATAATGCCTTTGCGGATCGAGCCTTTGACCTTGTCCAGGCGCGCGTCCGTCGCCACATTCAGCCGCGGGACGTTTTCTTCGCGCGGCGGCAACCACTTTCCCGTCGCGACGCAGCGGTGCAACGTCTGCGGGTCCAAGAGCCATTGCACGCCGCGCTTGATTTGCGCGAGAACATCTTCTCGCAACAGACGAAAGTGCACTTCCAAATGCGCTTCCATCCCGGCATTCGGTGCGAGACAGTGGGGCAAGTAGCTCGGCTCGAGGCAGCGCATTTCGAGATCGGTCGGAATCACCTGCACTTGTCGAAAGTCGGCGAAGTCGTTGTCGTGTCGTGGGCCGAGATCAAACGCTGGGGCTCCGGCGGGGTCGTCAGACTTGTGCTGCTGGCCAAGGAGGTTCCGACCGAGTCCGATCAAGTAGTTTGGCCGCGCCGCATCCCGTTCGACCGGCCGCCGGGACGGCACCAGTTCCATGCACAGCTCCACCGTGTCTCGCAGCGACGCCAGCGCCAGACGAACACCATCCGAGTTGTGGTGGAGCACGAGCCATTCCAACAAGGTCTTGGCTTGGTTGAACATGTCGTCGTCGAGGGCGGCGCTTGGGATTTTCTGAACAATGAGGTTGAGCACGGCGGCGAAGCTGGTCACGGCCCGAACAAACAGGCCAGCGGCCATGAGCGCCGCCGTCTCGCCTTCAATGCAATTCCGTACACGCATGAAAAAGAGCGGCTCGCTGTGGATCGCGCGAAGGATATTCTTGACGTCGGTCGTGTGCGGCGACAAGACAAACTTGTCCGACGCCACGAGCGCCATCAGCGGCAGCGCTATGTCTTGAAATGTATGCGTCGACACCTTGAAGCCAAAGCGGAGGATCTGGCGGAGTTTGTCCATCACGACGGGGGTGTTGCCCGTTTGTAAAATCAACTCGTTCACGTCCGTGTCGCACGCGGCCGCCGCTTTCACAAACGCCGCCATGTCGTATCGCTCACTGCCCGCGCGAAAGCCATCTTTGCGCCACAACACGAACGGAAGCGAGATGCTGGGCTCCACTTCTCGCTGCTTTCCAACGCGTCCCCCTCGACCACCTCGGCCGCCTGCGTCGTCGTCGCGACGCTGATGTCCCTGCTTCGTGCCTCCTCCCATCGTCACCGTTGCTCAGGCCCTGGCAACTGTCGCGAGAAAATTCGCAAATGAGCCACGGATACTTTGATTGTGCATTGTCCAACGAAGTGTTCGGGATTGCACAGCAACTGAACAAACCCACGACCCACGACGCCAGGTCGAGCGCCGTCCTCCATGAAGCCCGCATGGTGCCGATAACGTCGGCCGAACTCTGGCACACTGGCACACGCGCACATGCGCCAATAGACGTCATGAAACATGGCCGACGGAAGGTCATCGTACTCGGGACTTCAGGTCTGGTTGAAGAGTTGATGGAGAATGACGAGTTGTTGCATTGAATTGGTGGGATCTGACCAAGATCTTTTGGAAGCGTGCTCGGACTTCCTCCCACGCCGACGAACTGCGACAACAGGCGTATCGCCGCCATGCGCTGCTGTGGTCGACGGATCGGGGTGGAATATGAGCACGTTTGCCGACGACATCGTGTCCGCGAGAGGACGCATGGGTATGGGATCTGTGGTCATCATCAACGTGCAATTTGAACCCTGAGCAATCGAGTCAAGACGAGGTTGAGCTTCCCGCGACGAATTGTGATGGGACGTCGAGCTTGCAAGCGGCGCAATCGTGTCAGGATGAATATGACAGGGAAGATGCGGGTGCAAAGAGACATGACGTCCGACTTGATCCACCTGTCCGCAGGCTCCTCCTAAACGAATCCCGTCATCATCCAAGCTCAAGTGGAACACAGCTCGCGGGAAATCTCCGCGACATCCATCTCCAACGCGAACAAGACCTGTTTGCATGACGAAGGCCAAGTTCCACCTTCGGGAGCGACAACGGAGGGAACGATCCAGTGCGATGCTTGAACACCCCGTGAACACCTAGAATTGCCACCACCTCCACGGCGTTCGACAGTTTTTGCGAGGCCATGCCGATGAGGTGTGAGCTTCCATCGATCTGCAGCACAGCTTCCCTACCACGAGCGCATCGTCCCGTCCTCTGCGAGACAAGCCTGCGCCACTGCATGGGTGGTGTACAGTACATCCGCGCTTCTTGCCTCTGTATCGTTGAAAGCGGGCGTTTTTTCGACGACATCATATGATTGGCTTATGAAAGGGGTATTCACTCGTTTGATTGGCTTAGTTTAGCTCTTAATGACCAATTGTCATGGAGTAGGGGGAGTCTGGTCGAATTCGCAATTCCACGTTCCATCGACCTGAGAGATGGAGGTGCGGTTCCAAATGGCGCCTTCGTACGCGAAGAAGACGTCCGATGAGGAGAAGGATGGCCCCATTCTATCGTCAGCGATGCCTGCTCCGGTTCTCCCTCCTGTGCCCCAGGATCCGAAAGAGAAAGCGAGCACTCAAGACTCGACCACAGCGCCCAAGGAGAAGTTCAAGTTCAACAAGGTCGACAATGTGTCTGGCAGTACAGCGGGTGCCGGCAGCGGCGAGTTTCACATGTACCGTGCCGCGCGTCGGAGAGAAATGGAGCGTGTGTCGGCGATGGAAAAGAATCACAAGAAGATTGAAGAGGAGAGAGAGTTTCAGGAGAAGCGTCGTCGAGCCCAAGAGGAAGTCGAAGCCAAGGCACAGCAAAAGGCCGCGAAGCGCCGCCGCAAACTCGAAAATGCCAAGATGCGCAAAATGATGGGCGAACACGGCAAGGAAGTGGACAAGATTCCTGCTTTGGATAATGTCATGCCAGGTGGAGTTCCCGAGATCGCGAACGATGGGACGTTCCTGGACAAGATTCTCGCACTACAAAAAGGAAATGCATCTTCATAGTGGACTCGTGCCGTATTTATCTCTGCTAGCTGCTACATACCATGCTCTTGCAAGCGCGCACAACCAGCAACGCTCAAACCAAAGTTCATTGCTGCATGAGATGACTGCAGTCTTTGAACCGTTGTCCGAGGTGTAGCTCCCTCGTCCTCCTGCCCGGGGGCTATCAGACCACATCCCCCTCCTCGACAGCGTAACTGCTATGATTCAGAGATCGACTCCTCATCATGATGGAGCCATGCTAGTATGATTGAGTAGGCGGAAACGCGACGCTGTCACAGGCGAGCTTTGGCATGCCGCCCACTTCAACGTCCAACCGATTCACATGTGTTCCTGTCTTCACGAGCGCACGATCGATTCAGGCGTGACATCTCGCAACGTCACATACTCAAGTCTCGTTGTGTCCACCGCGCGCAGACTCAAGTAACTCCTTGCGTCGTGGCCATCCGACGACACCGCGACTTGTGTACGACCGGTCGAGCTCCATGATCCCGCCCGCCTTCACCGCACACATGGAGAACAGCCATAACTAATGTCGCCGTTGAAGCTGACGCCAGCAATCCCTCGGTTTAATGACATCTCGTCAACGTGTTCAGCGTCGTCTGGATTAAAATATGCATCGCTTACAAGGTATTCGTATTTAGTATTAGACAATGTATTATAATCCTCGTCCCCATTCGCCGCGTGGTCACAACTCTACATGGAACTTGGTTTACGTATGGGCTAGGCTAGACTGACGACGGAATCTCGGTATTTCTGGAACGGCGCGTCCTTTTTTTCGGTTCGGAGGAATTGTCTTGGTTTCAGTATTTGGTCGATGCAGGGAGAAAAAATACAGGGAATCGAGGCCTGTGATTGGCTAGAAACCTGCGGCGCAGAGGGGTTTTGAGTGGTTTTTTTCTATTTTTGACGGGGGACCCGCCACTCGCAAATTTGCATCGTCGTGCTCAAGTGATCATGGATCGTGACTCGCTCGTCTTCCTCGCCAAGCTCGCTGAACAAGCGGAACGCTACGACGAAATGGTCGACCATATGAAGGCTGTCGCCAACAACCACAACGTGGAATTGTCGGTGGAAGAGCGCAACTTGTTGTCGGTCGCGTACAAGAACGTGATTGGATCCCGCCGTGCGTCGTGGCGCGTGATCAGCTCGATCGAGAACAAGGGTGACTCGGACCGTGCGGAACACATCAAGAACTACAGACTGAAGATTGAAACGGAATTGGTCGAAATCTGCAATGACATTTTGCACATTATCGAACAAAACTTGATCCCCAACTCGTCGTCGGAGGAAGGCAAGGTCTTTTATTTCAAGATGAAGGGTGACTACCACCGCTACTTGGCCGAATTCCAAGTCGAAGACGAACGCAAGGAATCGTCGGACAAGGCTTTAGAATCGTACAAGCAAGCGTCGACCATTGCGATGGCCGAATTGCCCCCTACCCACCCCATTCGCCTTGGCTTGGCGCTCAACTTTTCCGTGTTCTACTACGAAATCCTGAACTCGCCCGACCGCGCGTGCAACCTCGCCAAACAAGCGTTTGACGACGCCATTGCCGAATTGGACACCCTGTCGGAAGAATCGTACAAGGACTCGACTTTGATCATGCAATTGTTGCGAGACAACTTGACGTTGTGGACGTCGGACCAAGAACCCGACAACGCCGACGCCAACCAAGGCGACATGAACGTCCAGGATGTAGAATAAAGGAGCCTGTGAGCTCCCATCGCAGGGTGTCTTTTTAGATAATTCAACCACTATTTTACAAGCAAAAACTTTTCCCCCATCGAAGTCGCGTCCCGAGTCTTGCGCCGTCTGCCGTGGCTGGCAGCATTATTCTCTCATCCCTCATTTCTCTCGCGAATCTCGACTTGCTCCTTGCTTCGTCCCGCCGCCGCACCTTCCCCAATTACGCCTCATTTCTCACATCATGCTCCTGTACAGTACAAGAAGGTTGCGCTGTTGTGGAGTCCATCGCGGGTGCAGAAGGAACCGCGCTTGAGTCCGCCATAGCCCATGAGAACACGAAATTGAACTTGGCGGAGGCATCATGCATAGCACCGAGCCCGCTCCACCAATACTGGACCTGTATGTTAACGTAACAAACCACCTTCCACCTTACGCGCCGCCGTCTTTCTCGAGTGAATCAACTCAAAACAAAGAGAGCTCGTATCGACATGTCGAGTTGTGTTGTGGCGCAGAGCGAGCGTCATGTAGTGCATCGCAGCCACCACCCTGCGTCCATTGAAGCGCATCCTTGCTCGTCTACGTTTCGGGGCGTTCCCCCATGGCTCCACCGCGAGTGGCGTCTGCTGCGACTCCATGTACGCCACTCGAGCAGACTCAGCACGTTCCATTCGCTTGGTTACATCCACGCGTGTGTCTCGGCCACGCGTCCTCATCATGACGGACTCAGCCCGTCGTAAGCCGTGAGGCCGTGCATGTTGACGAGATCGTCGCGGCCGCCGCCCTTGTCCGGGTCGAGCAGCCACGCGCCGAGGTCGAAGAAGCTATACGCCATCGCGTAATGACCCGCAGTCTGGCCTTGCTTGTTTTGGTGGTTCGGATTCGCTCCCTTGCTGACGAGGAACTGGCATACCTTGACCAGGTTGTTCTGGGCCGCCAGAAGCAGCAGCGAGTTGCCATGGTCGTCCGTTTTGTTCATGTGGAAAGCCTGGTGCTCAACGCCATCTTCGTAGACGGTGCCGACGCCGGCCGCGTTTTGAACCTTGACGCTGACCGGGTCGAAAGCTTTGTCGGGCCACTTTTCGAACGCTTCCTTGACTTGCTTGAGCTTTCCATTGCGCACGAGCGAACAGATTTCATCAAAGCGAATGACGAGGGACGGCGACACCTCCGTGGTCGACGGCTGGGGCACTGCGCCTCCTCCTGCTTGGGGTGCCGGACCATTCATGACGGTGCCTGCGGACGGCAGCGTCATTGCTGGAGACGTTGCGGTTTGCTGGGCTTGCATCGGCGCTGTCGCGGCGACCGGGCTCGAGTACAGCTTGTCGACCACTACGCCTTCGGCGCGCTTGAGGCGCTCGACAGCTTGCAAAATCTTCTTTCGATGGAGGTCGAACTCGATCCCGAGGGAATACCGCAGGTCCTAGGGACAACGTGAAGTGTGTCGTTCGTTCGGTGCGCGCACGTACGTGGTCATTGAGATCGTAAAGCAGGGACCCATCGACGGTGCCGTCTGAAAAAGCTTGCTTGTACTGCCCCAAACTGAGCGTATCTAGCCATCGGCCTACGTCGCGGACGCTCCATGCACTCGCCAGCAACGGTTCTTGGCCAGGAAAGTTGCCCGGTGCAGGGTCGGCGTGGAAGGTCCCCGTCGTCGTCCCAAAGCGACCGCCCCCTGCCGCGGTCGCCCCCGTCGCGTGGTTGTGAATGGCGTTGGCGCTCTCGAGGAACGTGTGGTGCGCCCCGATGTGCCGCATCGCCTTGATCATGTTCATGCTGCTGAAGTATGTCATGCTCATGCTCATAAAGCCAAACTTCATCATGGTCTCGGTCGACTCCATGAGTGAATTCGCCTCCTGTCGCTGCTCTGGGCTCACGGTCGTGCCGCAAGAGACCGCGGCCCCTCCGACATCACTGACGGTTGTCCCGAGAGGCCCTGGAGGTATCACGCCCCCGGCGACATCCACGAGTACCTGCGACCGCTTTTCTTGCTTGGCTTTGATTCCTACATGGCACAAAGTCCCTCTGCCATGAGCCAGCACCGTCGACAGCGCTGGAGGCTACCTTGCAAGTGTCGCTGCTGTTCATCCAGCAGCAATACGAGCTTGCGCTCGAGGCCCCGCAAATCTTCTTCCTTTGCGTGCCGTGACTTGTCAAGTGCTTGCAATGTCGTTCCCAGCACCACGAGTTTTTCGCGTCGGTCGGCGATCTTCTTGAGCATCATGCCAAACTCTTGGTCGAGACGCATCTTTTGGTCGCGGAGTTGCCACTTGGCCTGTTCGTCCAGCACCCCCGTCGCCTCGGTTTCGATTTGGCTCAACGAGTGCATCTCGGTCTCGAGCACGCGGACGCCGGCTTCGAACTCGGCAATCTCGGTGAGCAGCGCTTCAACGTTTGATTCCGCCTTGGCTTTCTCGTCCACGAGCAGCGCGACTTCGCTCTGGAGCCGCGTCCCGTACAGCTTGTACTCGAGCAGCATTTGCTTGCCAAAGTCAATGTTTTGCGTCTGCGCTTTCGAAAACAGATACCGGTCCCGCTCGGCGCGGAACCGGACACGGCCAACGTGACCACGATAGACACGCTATAGCCACGCCGTGAGCCTCGACATCGACCCATCACCGTCGTAAACGCAAGGCATCTCGAGCACCACCATAGCATCTTCACACATGGAGGCTATGCCTCCCACGTCACCATCGACACATACTTCACACTTTCGAAGTGTCTATCTTCACCCACGCGAAATGTCCCCTTACCTGAATTAGAACCGCGGCTTGGTGTTGCCGCCGACGCCGCCACGCTTCCTGAATCGCATGGACGCGCTTGAAGAGTGCTTGAATGATGCACGCAGACTTGTGTCGCAGCGTCCGTAGGCGATGGACGCGAAGCCGTGCGAGCCAGCCCCGCACAACGCGCTGCAACTCGATCGCGGCCAGACGTTTGCTTTTCGTCGATTTGAACTGCATGCGTCCCATCTTGCCGCGCCACGTCCGTTGAACGAGTCGAATCGCTGCGTCTTCCCTGCGCCGCCGCTGAAAGATCCGCCGGCCGCGAAACCCGCGGTAGACTCGTTGGATCACGAGCGCCGACTTGTGCCGGCGCAACCGATCCGCCAACGTCCGAGCTCGGTACGCCCGATACGCTTTTTGAATCGTCGACGCGAGTTTGTGCATCCGTTGGAGTCGCGTCGCATTGCGTTGGACTCGCCACTGCATGTACTCTTTCACGTCGCGACGGGTCGTCGGGTCCGGGTAAATCTTGCTACCATCCCCAGCCCGGTACACTTCATTCGTGTCGCGCTCAAACGATGGGTTCCTTGGATCGAGCACAGGAGCGTGCGGCTGTTGCGGTCCGTGGGACGTGTCCTTCTTCTTGGGTTGCGACGACGTCGGCGCTGCTTTCGACGCCACGCGTTTCTGCTGGTACTGCCTCCACGCATTGCCGGCGCTGATCTCGTCCGGGGGGCGTTCGAGTGCGAGGTGTTGCTGGTGGAATTTATCTGGTCGATCTTTCACATCAGTCAGCGTCATCATGACCTTGTTGATGAAGCGGTCTTCGTAGCTCGTCCGGGCTGCGGCGGCGGCCACGAGGGACGTCTTGTCCGAGCGAGGATGTGCCGTCGTCGTCTCCGAGTCGTGTGATTCATGAAACCCCGTGAGAAATTGCTCGAGCAACGTCGCCATCGTCGGCTTGACTTCCTGAAATACTTCGTGGCCGGCTTGCACCCACACAACACACGTTTTGGACTTGCGATGGTGCTTGAGCACTTTGTGAATGCTGTCGACGGTGCCGCCGCCGCGCGCCGCTACCATTGCATCCACGTGCAGCGGCTGGACAAGACCGTCTTGCGCCGCCGCGATCGCGATAAACGGGACGTTCATCTCGCCTAAGTCGTGGCGGACGTCAAGGTGGCTCAGCGCGCCGAGACAGAGCGCGACGCGGCCGTCCAACGTGATGGAGTTGCTCACGGCCGTGTACAAATTGAGCGCGAGCGGCGTCGAGACAGTTGCCAAGTACGCGCCGGAAAACAGAAACCGCGCGTGAAAGTAGACGGGGAGGTCGGGGCGGGACGCGGGGGAGCAGCTAAACACCTTCATCGCATCGTGGAGGAAGCTGGCGAGGGTCGCATCGACATGGGCGAACCCGTTGATGGACACGACGGCGCGGAGGACAGGGCTCGGGGCGTGCGCGGCGTAGTGAAAGCAAATGGGGGCGCCGTTGCCAAACCCGACGAGATAGAACGGCTGGTCAGGCCGCCACAGCCCTTGCGACGCGACTATGATCCACGGAGCATGACAAGGTCAAGCACCATTGAACATGCAGCCGCGACGACGCGGTGACGATGGACGAAACGTACCGTGACCGAGGAGCCCCGCCAAGCACGTCGAGAGGTACGCATTGTTGAGAAGGAGTCCCTTGCGCCACGTTGTGCCAGCTTGGCCGGGATAGTTCCACACAAGTGCCTGGGCGCCGGGGCACCGCGCCAGAATGGGCTGGAGGAAGATTTGGAGCCGCTCCAGCGTGTCGAAGATGTCGTGGACGACAACCAGGTTGAAATACGTGTTGACCGTCGACGGGGGTGTCGGGGGGTTGAGCACGGCAAAGGGGAAAATCGTGTCAGCGTCCAGTTGGAGCATGCCCATCGTGCAGGTCGGGTCGTGTGGGGAGTGGCCCAAGAGCGCGTTAGCCAGATTCGACGAAGACGCCGCTGCTCCCGCGCGAGGCGCTGGTTTCTTCTTGCGGGCAGCGGCTGGCTTGGGTAGCGTCGACTGGATCGGATGGGTCGCTTTGGCCACGATGGCCTGCAACGACATGGGCGCCGTGCCGCTCGACGGCGTTGTTGACAGCACTGCCGCCTCCACCGTCCGCCGGACCGCGTCGGGATCCACAGGTTGCGCGAGACATCCGTCCATCCCGACCTCCATGTACACGCGCAAGTCCTCGGGCGACGTGCACGCTGTTAAGCACAGCACGGGGGTTCGAGACACTGGCGCGTGCAGCGCGATGCTCTGATGCATCTCATGTTGTCGCAGGAGCTTGGTCAGTTCGATCGCACCCAACGTCGGGACGTCCCGGCCGCACACGATCACGTCGTAGTGGGTTTCTTGCGCACACTTGAGCGCCTACGGTGGCCCCACAAGTCGAGCCGCGCGTTAGGCGGTGGCAGTTCCAACCACCAGAGATGGTATTGGGGAGATCCAGGGCGACGTACCACAGCTCCATCGCACACGCTGTCGACAGCGTACGCGTCCTGTAGCAGCGCCACAATCGTGTTGATAGTCGGTTGATCGGTCTCGACGACCAGAATGAGCGGCTGGGACGGCTCGAGTGCTTTGGACGACGACGGCAGCGCCATTCCACCAGGAAACAGCGCGTTTTCACAAACGGATTTCGTCTTGCGCCGTCGGGCTTTGCCGCGGAGGTAGCCATCGAGGCCCACAAACTCCTACCATGCAACACGCATGCGCAAAACGTTGTTCAGGCACGTCGAGTACCTCGACTGTCTTGGCTACATCTTCTCCAGCCTGACGACGCTGGTTCTTCCACGTTGTTGGCTTGGTCTGAATGTGCTTGGCGGCACATTGCTTGGCTTTGGACGAGACATCGCTTCCTCGGTGAAGTGTGGGAACCGATGGTTGGTGTATGGGTGGCATGGCTATCGCGTCGCCGTCGTGCGCCTCCCCGTCGCCCCTTCCATCTGAACAATGTGCGCATGAATGCAAGCCATTGAAGCGAGGACTGTACCATGTGGGCTGAGCTGTCCAGCGCCAAGTCCATTGTCTCGCGCCCCCGTCGAGCCGTCGAACGAAGTCCCATCGTGTCGTGGCGAGGTGCCAAAGGCATTGGGCGACGTGGGTGCGGCGTGTGCGGGGGGGGTGACGAGCCGCGGGAGTTTTGTGTCGAGCGCTGTCGTAGACGCCGACCGCCGCCTCCTCATCCCGCGCTGGTTTGTCGCCCCAGTCGTGTCGGCAGAAGCATTCGATGATGCTCTGCCGGGGGGATGGGACTGTCGGTCCGTCGGGCTTTGGGACGCCGCGACTTCTTCCAGCATGCGGCGCGCGGTGTCTAGCGTGGTGTACACGATGTAGCAGCACCGACACACTTTTACATGCCGGTAGTAGTTGGCGGCACCGCCATCGAGTTCTCCATACGTTTTGCCAAGACTTCGCTGCAAGTCCCTCGACACGGTGGACGACATGTATGTTGGCTGATGGGTCCGATGCTTGGATGCGCCGTCCTCGGGGACGAGGCGAGCGATCAAGTGGGCCTTGTTTGCCTTGGCGAGCGCAATCGACCGGTACGTGATCGTGTAATGGAGGCGATGGTCGTTGTAGTTTTGTAGCATATCAACGGTCTGACTCGTGAGAGATTCCAGGAGGTTGGCAGCCCCGAGCGCGGCCGAATCGTCTGGGGAGAGCAGCGCATGGATGCCATGGCCGCGCTTTGTAGGCCCTTCGTCGGCGCTCGCCAACGTCGACGGCGGCGTCAAGTCAAACGTGCAAAAGTCCCCACAACATTTGAATGGCGTCGGAAAGTCCGTTGGATGGTATGCTGCCTTCAAAGTGGGCGACGACGCCGTGGTAGCGCTGAGTGTGAAATGCGTGGCTGCGCGGCGTTGGGCTGCGCTCACGTCGTCGGTCCGTGCGAGCGACAGGTCCGCGCCATTCATGCTGTCGACGGGTGGCGCATCGAGGAGCGTGTCTTCGGCCGCGTTGAACACGGCCTGTTCCATGGAGGAGGCGGCGCCACCACGTGCGACCCATCCATTGTTGCGCACACATCCTTGCGAGTGCGTGGGCGACAAGGCATGTCGAGGCGCGGCGTCCCCCGGGTGGGCGGCTCGTGTCACCACCATCGACGGGATCCACGTTAGCCAAATCTGTCGGCGGCAAGGGTCAGTATGCATGTCAAAGCTGACAAATTATCGCGTAGCCAGTGCTTGGCGATTCGAACGAACCTGCTCATTCGCGTCGATGATGTAGTCGGCGACGATCTCATGCACGCGAATGCAGTGCAGCTCCTAAACCACACGAGTCAGCGACTATAGTCGTACATCGCGCGGCGCCCCAACTTCTGGCTCGCCATTCAGGACGTACCTCAAGGTGCTGTCGCACAAGGTTCGTAATCGCATGCAGGCGCGAGTTGATCGTGGTCGCATTCGACTTGAGCGCTTGGTCGGGATGCGGTGCATCCACAACGACGGACGGCCCTGGACCGCTCATTTGGTGGAGCACCAACTTGGATGTAGCATGGACAATGCGGGGGAAATTCGACTGGACCGTTTTGATTTCGTGCCGATAGATCGATCCGAGAGATCCGCGGCTGCACACGAACGGCTGAATGACATCGTGAGATGGAATCGCCGTAGGGACCACGGTGGGAGAGTACCTGGATGGCGACCACGTGCTTGTCAAACGGAGCGTCGACGGCTTGGGCCATGGTGGCCACGTCCCACACCACACAGCTTCCGTTTGACCGCCGAAGGACAGCGACGTGCGCGTTTACGTTGGCGTCGTTCGCGAGCGAGATGCGACGGAATCGGTCGACGATATCTGCTGACTCGAAGGTTTTCTTCTTAAGGACCTCGCCCGTCTTGGCCGTGAAGAGCCACGTGTCGGCCTTGCCGTCGGAAACGAAGACCTAGGATTGAAAAGAATGTCATGGAAAGAGTGCAAGCATCCCGATTCGTACGGTGTCGACGATCCCGACAATGCACTTGGGGCAGTGCGCTTTCCACAGCGAATGGAGGCCCCACTCACCGCCTTTTCCATGGCCGATGACGTCGGCGGAGGGTCCTCCAGGCTCGTCGCGGCGCGGTGGCTTCATGCCCAGCGCATCCCTCGTCGTTTCGCGGATTCCGGTTACGTGACAGTTACAAACTGAATCGACGACCTCAATTGCCGCGTAAACAACTCGCGGTGCAGCGGGCACAGGCGAGAGCTTCGGCCATGACAGAGAAGATGGCGTGCCTGGCTTGGGCTATCTGCACGATGGGAGGGGACCGGCACAGTGTCTCCAACACGGCGAGTTCGGACAGACTCAGTGGGGCCTTTTGACACATGCGACGAATCCGCACGATCGATCTCACTGCGTCGCCAAATGCATGTATGCACACTTAGTCTCTGGCAATTGCGTGGATTTTGGGTAGGCGTGATGACGTCGCCATCGCCGATCGAGCTAGCGTCCTTTCACACAGAGCGAAACTCCTGAGCAGAGACAACTCAAGAAGGCTACATACAGGAGGGCATGGGAAAGTGCTGCCTCTGGTCGCCCCGCCTGTTCATTTTCAAGGCCTGCTCCCTCCTCAGCAATGCTCTCGCCATCGTACACATCCAAGTGTGTTTAACGCAGACCTTTAGGAAGGACAGATGGACACGGCAATCGAGTACACCACAACAAGACCAAAGTAAACCTATTTCTATCGCAATCACGCGTCAGCAATTTCATGGTCGGGGCTGTCGTCGGCCGGCCCGCCGTCAAAGATGCGCTTGTAGAGGCTGTAGAGTAAGTGGACTTTGCCTTTCGACGAGAACGACGTGGCGCCACCCGCGCCGCCGATGCCACCCCCGACCATCATGCGGGCGTTGTACGGCTCCCCATACAGCTTGCGCTCGTCGATTCGTTCGTGGTGGGATGTGCCATGGCCGCACACGCACGCGTCGCCATGTGTCGCCTTGTGTGCGGTTGACGCTGGCGTCAAGTGGTGCAGATTGGCGGCACTCGCCACTGCGGCGCGGCTGGCATGCATCGAAGGAACTGCTGAGTCGTTCAACGTCTACGTCGGCATCGAATCAGGACCAACGCAACATGGAGATGGCGAGACTGCTTACCCGAGAAACTTTGTACACACTGCAACGTCCGTCGCGGCACAGCGCGCATTTCCCCCGGAGAACGTTGCCATGGTCGCGCTGAAAGATCACGTCGTCCAGCACCACTACATTCGAACACCACACATCATCATTCTCGGCTTAAAACAACCGCATGCATTCCATTTAAAGCATGCAAAGTGATCACAACATCCACCCATGGACACACACTCCCCATTTCAGAAACGCACACACATTCCAAACACACGTACATTGAGGCACGCCTTTGAATGATGTGAAGGTGAGGATGTCGTCGACGTTGCGGCGCGTGTACGAGGCGCAGAGCGCGAGAAGCGACGGAGGCGAAAGCGGTCCGACGTGAATCGAGTACAAGTCGTGGAGACGGTCCGTGCCGTCGTAGCCACCGAGGAGGTACATGCGGTTCAGGACGACGACGGCGCGGTGGAACGTCCGACTGCTCGGGACAAACCCGGTCGTGTGCACTTCCGTCCACGTATTCGTGACCATGTCGAGTCGTTGAAGGTCGTTAAATCGGCTGTGCGCCTTGTCCACACCGCCAAACACAAACATGCTCGTGTCGAAGATGACGGCCGTGTGACGGTATCGATGGGGCGGTGCCCTCCCCGTCGTCGGGATTGGGCTCCATGTGTTGGTGTGGAACTCGTACTGGTGCAGATCGTCGAGCGTGTCTCGGCCGTCCCATCCTCCGAATACGATGAGCCGACTGGATGGCTCGTGGACCGCCCCCGTGTGGCCGAAACGTCCGCTCGGGAGACTCCCCACCGCGTCGACTCTGCGCCAACTCTTGGCCGGAATTTCATATCGGTACATGTTGTTGAACCGAGACGACCCGTTATACCCGCCAAAAATGTAAATGTTGGCGTCATGGAGCACCATAATGTGGTCGGTGCGCGATTCTGGCCGCACGGACGACGTGGACGACGTCGGCATCTCGCTCCATCTTCGCGTGTCTGAATGGAGAAGAATCGGATGAGTCGACACGGTGGTGGAATGCATGATGTCAGTACCAAAGTTGAAATAGAATAGGTCGTTGAAGTAGTTGCCGTCGCGTCCGTCGTACCCGCCAAAGATATACATGTTGTTTGCATGCACAACACCCAAGGCACCAGATCGCCGCGGTGGCAACGTGCCATGGACGTCCACGTGGGACCACGAACTCGACTCTACAGTCACGTGGATGAATGCATGTCCACGCATCGAGTGAGGAAGGGATGGTACCAATATCAAACTGAAAGAGATCTTGCTGGCGTCGCCGCCGATCGGTCCCACCAAATACGTACAGTGTCGAGTTGTGCGACACTACCGTGTGCCCCGTGCGAGGGCTGTACCCATCGCCAAGTGTATCAATGCGTTCCCACCGGCGTTCGTCTACGCATTGGAGTTCGATCAGCACCACCGCATGCAATCCGTTCGAGTCCACCATGCAACACGTTCGTCGTACCAATGTACTCTGGCTCGGGCTCGAACTCCATGGACGGCGACGACAATGACGACAGAGACGACGATCGCTGACTGTACATGATGGTATGCTGGCAGGTCGTCAACTGGCGGCGGGCAAATCTTTCCGATGCCCCTTCGCTGCTCGAGACGCAGCAGTTTCGAGCATTATCATGCGAGGAAATTCCAAAAGAATCGTAGAAGGATACGAGGAGGGACCTCCGGATAATGCTTTCAACCTGCAAAATTCTCTTGGTGAATGTATACCGTTGTGTGGTGTATCTTGACAATAATGCCATCGAACAAAAGAACGTTAGAAAACATGAATACAATATTCAAGTTATAAAATTCCAACTCTCCCTATCCGGATAAGATTGTGGATGTCATGGGAACCGTCAAGTTATCCAATTTGAGTTATGTAATTGGTGGATTTTAGACGATATTTCATCAATATTTAGATGGCCCGGATGGTTGAGCTTGCGACACTGCGCAATCCAGGTGTTGATACGGGGCGTGCTGCGCTCGGAGCAGCTCGTCCACGCGGCCCTTCAATGTCTGGACCATAGCGTGCTTGGCTCCATGCGTGATAGTCAGTATACGCCACGCCTCTGTGAGATGCTGCTGGGCACCTTCTACTTGAAGCTGTGACTCGAGGTCGCCGAGAGTGTACAAGTGCAGCCCCGTGAGTGGATGGTTGGGATCATACAGGTGTTGATAGAACGCGTACATCTTGCGGGCTGTCTGAATGGCGTCGTGGCCATTTCCCATTTCGATGTAGAGCGTCAGCAGCTGCGCGTGTACTTCCAAAAGCAACACGCTCCACTCGTTGGCAAGGACACTCGCCCGAACGTCCAAGGTGCGTTTGAACAGATCTATCGCCGTCTCACGGTTCGACGCCCTCGCAGCTTCCTTGCACCACGTCACGGCTTGCTCGAGTACAGCCATTTTGGCCGCATCATTCGACGATTCTACGTCGTCGAGGCGACCTTCGCTTGTGCAGCGTTCGCACATGCACGTAAAGTGGTAATGCCGATGCAGATGCCGCTGTCTCTTGTGCAGCGGAAGCCCGACGTCCACTGAAGAACCGCCGTGAATAACGACTATGAAAGCGCTATTCCTGAAGCGTACCGTACGTCTGTGTGACCTCAGCGCCTTTGGGAATGAATTGAACTGCACGCAGCTGCATGGTCTGCGTTGACGGCTCATACCTGCCACGACAAATCATTTCCATCGAGATGCAATGGGACTTGATTCGATGTGTACGTGACAGCGCAATTGTTGGCGCAGCTGTGATTGACCATTGCGCCCCACGGAAAGCATCCTGGCATGCAAAGATGAACGAATTTCTCCACAGACAATTGTTCTACCGGCCCCAACGTCCAGCAAGAGTTCGTCGGTGATGGTAAAGTTATTGCTGCGGAAGCGGCACAACATCTCTTCCACGACGTGCGCTGAGGAATTGTCTACTACAATGGTCACAGGAGCGATCAGAATCGGACGATTTACCTGGCAAGAGGTCAGCATGCTTCGTTGCGAGCCAACAGGCAGTGGCCCGCACGTCGGTCCTGTCCTCCTCAAACCACACCAAGTCCGACGGAACCAGCGCTTCACGAGAAAGGGATGAACTATTTGCCATGGTTAGCAAGTGCGCAGATTCTTTGCGCAGGACGCGGGCCACTAAGAGAGCATCCGACAACGTCGCTGGGTGGGGTGCGTGCTGCCACATGGCAGGCAGGTGGGGACATTCAAGTTTGTGGCTTTCTTTCCAGTCCTTCAGCTGGCATGCCTTGGAGCCTATTGCATGACGTGCATTGGAGTTCGTTCTCCATGGAGGAGCGTCGTACAGTAATACACGAGCCGGCATCGTCCACAACGGGAGAGCGTTGCCGTTGGCCGAAAGCAGACCTGACAGCGCTCCGTCCAAAGCGATGGAGAAAGCATAAAGGCAAATGGCTTGGATTCTAAAACGAGCGCGCCGACTGGTATGTCTTGTGCGGCAGCGACCCATCGGCCACGCACTGCGTCGCCGTGGCACAACGACACGTCCATCATTCAAGTCGATGTCACAACTTGTTCTCCACAGACACGACGTTGAAAATATTTTGAACGAGAAGGATAGCCCAACTATATTGAACGATGGGATAAACACAAAGGAATGCAGTCATATTTCGGTCGAGATATGTGGAAATTACTTGAACAATGTATGCTA